TGGTGGTTAAGGTGCTGGACTCCCACAAGGCCAATCAATGGTTCAAGTCCCGGACCCAGTGGCTTGCTTGCTCATTTTTCCCCTTTCTCTCTGGTGAGCATACATATCCTATAGGAAATTAAAATAATAATAATAAAAATAAAATTAATTACAAAAAATTCAAACCCATGATAATTTTCTCATAACACGTATTTCCAACAGAGTTTTAAACAAGTTTCATTTTAATCTTGAGTGTGTATTTGTGTATGTAAGCATGAGCGAGAGGGGGAAGCTCCCTTGGCAAGGTTCTGTCACACCGTGATTGCCCTCCCCCAGCCCCGTTCATGGGCTCTTGGGCATGCATGTACCAGTGTATTTTTCAGGTTGACTGGGAATCCACACCCATGGTTGGTGGCCACGTAGCCTCCAGCTTCGCTGCTCAGTGTGCTCCTGCCTGACTTTCCCTTTTCTACTTTGCATACTTAAGTATTGTTTAAAATAAATTAAAAAAAAAACTTATTTAATTTTATTTAAAATTATTATTTTTTAATTTGACCAGAGAGATACAGAGAGGGAAAGTGAGAAATCTAGCCACCAGATCCGAGACTCAAAACTGTGGTTGGCCACATGGGAGTCCAGCACCTTAACCACCATGTCACTTGCCAGCCCCCTTGCTTAAAATTTTAATAATCACCTTTTACTTTTCAAATAAAAAAGAAAAACTGGTAAAATAAAAATCCAAACTCGAACACTACCAAAACTAAGACTTGTCAAAAACTTATGTATGCCAGGCCAGAGGGAGCACATTGGCAAGACAGTCCCTGGCTGGCTGGGGCTCCCTGTGTCCTGGGACAGACAGTCCCAGCTAGGGGGCTTGGGATGGGGAAGCTCTGGCTTGGGCTTGCCCTGTCTAGGTTCACTGGGGTGGGGGCCGGGAGCAGGCATTTGGGCATGAGGTGCAAAAGCCCAGGTCCAAGTCTGTTCCCGCCTCAGTGGGAAGGTTGGCGCTGCCAACGCTCACATCCCATCTGCTGTGAGATGTGGGCCCACTCAAGACTGTCTGCTTGGCGGCCGGGGGTGGCCATCTGGGGCAGGCCAGCCGGCTGGCTTGGAAGGCAGCCTGGACCCCTTACTCTAGACCCCATGCTTTGGTTAACGGGAGCCTGAGGCATGTGCATGTGGCCAGAAGGACAGAACTCTGCCTGTGAGCTCAACCCGTTACCCAGCACGGCCCTCCAATCCCTCTGGAAACAACGAGGGCTGCGATGAGAGTCGGTCATGATAGCAACTGGCTCTCAGAGCACCTGCTGCCCACAGCTTGCGCTGCCCCTTCGCTTGTGTCAGCCAGGCCCCACCTCTCGGGGAGAGCACCAAGCCTACTTCACGGAGGGAGAAACCGAGTGCACGGAGGTAAAGCTGTCTACCCAGCGGGGCGTGGCCAGTCAGCGGCAGAGCTGGGCTGAACCTGGGGCTGTCTGTTCCCAGAGCCAGAATTCAAATTCAACCCTTCAGGCAGCATGGGCCACAGTTAAGAGCATAGGCTCACGGGAAGCATAGGCTCTGGTTCAGCCCCTGGGGGATCCTGATAAGTGATTATCTTTCTGGGCCTCTGGGACCTCATCTATAGAGCATGGATAATAACGGGGCCTGCATTGTGGGACGGTTAAGAGGATCTGGGGAGTCGATGCACATAGAAGGACAGCACCTGTCAGTAATGTGTGTTCAAAGTGTTAGCTCTTATTACCACTTTTGTTGTCACTGGGTGCTAAGTGACCCTCAACTCTGCCTCCATGATGGGAAGGGTGTTAGGAAGGAGTGAGGCAAAGTCTGCTGGCCAGTTGGCCCTCCTCCAACTCTGCATCCCCAGGGAATCAAGCCTGAGGGCCCAAGGGGGCAATTCTGCAAGAGGTTGGGCCCAGAGCCGAGTGTGTGTGGCCTGTGTGTGTGCGAGGACAGAGACAGGCCTGCCGGTGGGTGTGAGCCCCCGTCCACAGGTGACAGCAGACCAGGGCCCTTCCTGGTGGCTAACTTCTCTGGGCTCTCTTTGGGTAGTAGCCCCAGCCCTGCCTGCTTCATATGGGCAAACTTGCCAAGCCACACCACAGACCTATTAGCCTAAAACAGAATCCAACAGGGGAGGCCGCATGCCCAAGGCTTCACAGCTGCTGAGGAGCAGAGGGGGACTCCAGCAGGCCTCCACCACGCCCAGCAGGGTCGTGCCTCAGGACCTTTGCACTGGCTGCTGCTCGCTCTTCCTGGAACACTCTTCTTCAAGGTGCCGCCACGGCTCTCTCTCATCTCCTTTAGGTCTATACTCAAAAGTCATCTTCCCAGTGATGGTCCCTTGACCATCCTGCCTGAAAACGGAACCACCCACCACACTTCTCTTCCTTGCTTCTTCTCCTACCTCATTGCGGGCCACGTGTAATTTACTAAGGTATCTGTGTACTGTCTGACTCCCCACAAGATGGCAGACCCACGAGCATCTTTGCTGCCTCCTTCACTACTGGACCCTGTGTCCAGCCCAGGCAGGCAGGTAGCGGTGCTGACTAAATCTCTGTGGGGTGGATCCATCCCAGACTTCATTGGGAATGGCATCAAACCAGTTTTGACAGAATAGGAATCACAGAACAGCAACAATAGTATTCCCTGACCTAGGATCTATGTACCGAAGCCCCAAAACATTCAGTGCATATGACAGTCTGGTATTTAAAAAATCCTTTCTACATATTCTATATTCAGTAAAAACAAAAACAAGGGGCCAGTAGGTGGCATGGTGGTTAAGGGCGCTGGACTCCCACATGGCCAACCATGGTTTGAGTCCTAGACCTGGCAGCTTGCTTTCTCCCTTTCTCCCCCTCTCTCTTGTTCTGTCCCTCTCTGGTCAAATTAAAATACATACATAAATAAATTAATTAAATTAAATAATTCTCTAAAAACAAAACAAAAACAAAATGTGGGCACTAAGTGCTGAGTTCGTAACTCATGACTGGGTCCAACGTGCAGTCGCGTCTCAGAGGCAGCCCAGCTGGTGGCTGGAGCCTAGGCCGACACCGTCCCGACACCAGAGGGTGCCTAGGCAAGTCTCTTACTTTCTAGTGCCTGTTCTGTCATACAGAAATGAGGACAACGGTGCTTTGTCACGAAACTGTGGTGGGGTCTGAGATAGTTAATACACGTAAAGGCAGAGAACAGTGCCTGACAGTGTTCCACAGACCTGCAGTGATAACGGCAGGGTAGTAAATACATCTCAGACTATGACTGTGGCTGTCACGTCACCCAGCACTTGCCCACATGTTCTCAAACAGTCTGATGCCCTGTGAGCTGTCCCCTCACATTCTGCCCTGATGCTTGTCTGGCCAGAAAGGTAAGAGGAGGAAGGGGGTGCCGGGGAGGCAGAGCTTGGTGATCACCTGTGGTTTGGGGCACGTGGCTTTGAGGCCTCTCTCCTTGGGGGTCACAAAGCTTTTACTGCCATCCCAATCCTTCTCAGAGGGAGGGTCTTCATCAGGGGACGGGGCGAGGGCCCTCAGTGCAGCAGCTGCCAGCCGGGATGAGGTCCAGGACTTGGCTGGCCCCACACCTCAAGTCCTTGGCTGCAGCAGCCTGCTGGGTTTCCATGTCTGGGCAGAGGCCTGGCCCATGGGGGCTGCAGCAGTGCAGAGCTGAGGGAGTTCCATGTCGGGGGAGGCTGCCTCACTGATGCCTGCCCCTTTTCTGGAAAGGTCTTTTGGAAGTCTCCATTTTTGCTCACTTAGTTCTCTTTTTGCTGAGGAACTGCCCTGCCTCCTCCTCCAGGTGGCTCTGTTGGAATTGTGCCCTACCCTGCCCCTGGACACAAGGTGAAGCACGTGTCCCAGATCTGCCCAGTTTCCTCTGTCACCCCTTCCTACAGTGACTGGCCCAAGGCATGGGCTTGTGATCCAAGCAGAGCTGATCAGAGTCTTTCTGGAGATGGGGCAGGTAAGTCTGTTCCTCCTGGATGAGGAGGTGGAACGATGCAGACAATTCGAGCAGCTGGTCTCTATTTTCCCATGATATAGAGACGGTTTGTTGGTGGCCAAGGGGAATGGCACACACAACGCAAGAGGCAGCAGAGCCAAGCAGTGCGGAGAGAGCAGGAGGCAAGTTCCAGTGACTTCATTCAGGTGTCAGAGTCCAGCTAGGCCTGCAGCAAGTCCTAGTCCCAGCTTTGCAGTTACACAGACCAGGGAATTGCTTCTGGCTTCAGCTAGTTAGAGGAAGGTTACTGTCACTTACAATGTAGACTCCTAAAAGGCCAGGGCAGTCTCTAATAGGCCATCTCCTCTGAGCCATAACCGACATTTAATCCAGAAGAATCCTCTGCCCAAGCTGGGACAATGGGATTCTCCGAAGGGCTAAGGGCCTTTGAGTTGATCAGCATGAAGGCATAGTTCACTTCCTGCCTAGCCTGAGGATTGTGGCCTTCATTCTACTTTGAATTATGGAGAACATCCTGGGCTCCTGGAATCACCCCCTGCCTCTTCCATTATTTCTTATGCTAACCAGAGTTAATCTCTTGCAAACAAAATTTCTAATCTTGGGCTCTCCAATCAGAAAGGCAGGATTCAAATCCCAGCCTGGGCTTCAGTTACAGATCCTATACAAGGTGTTCAATTTCTTTTCTTTTTCTTTTGTTTTTGGAGAGGTTTTTGCTATAGGGTGTGTGCGCTCGCCAGACAGAGAGAGACAGAGAGACAGAAAGCGAGAAATCACCCCCCAGGGTGGATGGCCACACCGCAATCCCTTCTCCTCCATTCTCCTCTCAGGATCTTGGGCACGCACGCACACGGCATGAGTTTTAAGTCACTGGGTCCAGGAACGAACTGCGGTCAACTACACGGGAGTCCAGTGACATAGCCATTATGCTAATTGCTGGTCCCACAAAGTGTTCAATTTCTGAGTCTCAGTTTTTGTCTCTGTAAAATGGGGAGCCTAACAGGACTGCTCTTCTGGGCTTGTTGCAAGGATGGTGTGAGATGAGGCCAGGGTAAGCGCTCACCCCAGAACCTGGCTCAGAGTAAGGGGGTCACAGGTATGAATGGCTATTACTTCTGTAACAATGACTAGCGACGGGACCTACCTCACGGGTCCGGAAGATGATCCTGTACTGGTACTGAGGTCCATGGTCCTTGTGGTCTTCCAGCTTCTCCCGCTTGATGCTCACAGCCACTGGCCCCAGCTTCTCATCCACCCCGAAGTAATTGGCATGCTCTGAGAGAGAGGAGTGGGCAAGTTCAGAGTTGGCTGTGTGGGAAAACGGGCCCGACCCACACAGGCGCACGATAGGACAACTGGGGCAGCTCTTATGCAGCCTGTGGGAACCTGGTGAACCAATCCCATGCTTGGTCATAGCCACAAGCAACAGAGAAACAGTAAAGAGGTAAAAACCCACCTGATTGTTCTACCCCTACTAAGTCACAGTATCTTCCTGAGGCTCGGGGCTCTCATCTGAGAAATGGGGCCCTCAATGCTGCCGCAGCCTGGAGCACTGAGGGCACAGACGCTCAGTGTGCTGCATGGCATGTGACACACCTAGCTTCGCTGTGATGAGTCTCATGCTTGCAAATGGCTCGCCTGGTGCAGCTGCCCTCATGAGGCAGAGAAGACTCTAGTCTAGGAGGTCTTCTGTAGCTTCCATTCTGGTGCTGTCGCTTGTGAGATGCATGGCCTGGGCCACATCTCTTGCTACCATGCTCAGAAGAAAAATGGAGTTGAAGATGACCCACCCCTCAGCACAGTTGTATAAAAAAAATGAGTAAGCACGGAGCACTTAGCACTGTGTCGGACATGTAGCGAGCACAGGAGACGGGTGGCTGTTTTCATCCCCAGGGCATGACACTTGCTGTGACACCTAGCTGACCATGTTTCATTGGACCTTGGCAACTAAACTCTGCTCTTTTTCGGGTGATGGATCCTTTAATGAGTCAGAAGGCAGTCTTCTGTCTCCCCTAAATGAGAGCTACTTCCCCCTTTTTCTAAAACATGCTGCTATTTTATAATCCCTTCAGACAAACACACCTCCTTCTGATGGATAAGCCATGTATCTCCTGCTTGTGGTGAGCGCCTACCAGCACTTAGTCTTGACTCAAGCCCACAAAGTCTTTATCTATCCATTGACAGATCCTCAAATGGCCTTGCTTCTGCTTCCCACCCCAGGACTCTAGCTATTTAACTGATGGTTCCTGTTCTCATGAGATGGTCTTGGTGAATCCAAGGTTAATCTAAAAACAATGTGTGTTGGGACCAGCAGATGGCGCAATGGTTACATTGCCAGACTCCCATGTAGGCCACCTCGGTTCGAGTCCTGGACTTGTAGACATAACACTCAAGTTGGGAGAAGGAGGGGACACAAGGAGGCAGGCAGGAGCCACTGCCATCTCCATGACCCGTGGTAACCAGCATGAGCTCGTCGGCCAGAATATGAAAAAGCTGAGCGACTCAGTTAAGGGAAAGTGCAGAGATGAGGGGCTTTCTGCTGCCGCCTACAGGAAGAGTGTCCCATTATCCACCCCCAGGGACTCGGAGATCATGCAGCAGCAGAAGGAGACAAACGAGAAGGAGGAGGAACCCAAGTAGCTTTGTGGCTTCGTGTCCAGCCCTCTTGCCCTTCGCCTGTGTGCCTAGGGCCAGTCCCACCATGCTCGTGTTTCCTCCTGCAGTGCTTATGGTCCCAGCACCGATGGCATTCCCTTTGCCCTGAGTCTGCAGTGGATCCCTTTGTGCTTTCTTCCTCTCAGGTAGCCTCTCTCCCCCTGGGCCACTCCTGGGGGGTGAGGGGTTACCTCTTCCCAGTGTTTACTCCTGTGGGGCTCACCCCAAAACATTAAAAGTAACTTTGTTTAAAAAAAAACAAAAAAACAAGGGGCCGGCAGGTGGCATGGCGGTTAACGGTGCTGGACTCCCACATGGCCAACCATGGTTCAAGTCCCAGACCTGGCGGTTTGCTTTGTCTCTTTCTCTCTCTCTCTCTCTCTCACTCTGCCCCTCTCTAGTCAAATTAAAACCAACTAAATAAAGTTAAATAAAAGAATTCTTTAAAACAGAACAAAACAAAAACTCATGCCAGGCATGTGTGTGTGCATGTGTGCCCAAGATCTCGAGGAGCATGGAGGTGAAGGAATCGTGGTGTGACCATCCCCCCTGGGGGTGATTTCTCGCTTTCCATCTCTCTGTCTCACTGGCAAGCACATGCACCCTCACATGTCCATTTGGGTCCTAAACCTGGGGGCTTGAAATTCCAGGAAAAGAATGGAGAAGGGATTGTGGCGTGGCAGGGTGATTTCTCACTTTCTCTTTTAGTCTCTCTCTCCGGCCAGCACACATACCCTGTGGCAAAAACCTTAAAAAAATAAAAAGAATCAATAGGACACAGAGCCCTGCCACAGTAGTGGACACTGTGGACCAAATGGGAGGCCCAGGTTTAATTCTTGGTCCAGTCTAAAGACCAGACACAGAGGGGCACATGCCTGAAATCCCAGCAACTCTGGAGGCTGAGCTCGTAAGACTGTGAACTGGAATATGGCTTGGGCAACACAGCAATACCTGGTCACAAAAATGGGTTTGGATGGAGGCAGCAGGTGGCATGGTGGTTACTGCACTGGACTCCCACATGGTCAACTGCAGTCTGAGTACCGGACCTGGCAGCTTGAAAATCATGCCAGGTGTGTGTATGGAGCATGTCCAAAAGCCTGAGAAGAGAACAGAGGGGAAGGGACTGAATGTGGTCATTCCCCCTGGGGGATGATTTCTCACTTTCCCTCTGTTTCTTTCTATCAAGTATACACACCCTATGGCAAAAACGTAAACAAAACGAAACGAAACAAAACAGCAGGTGTGGTGGTATGCACCTGTAGTTCCAGCTGGGAGGATTGTGACACAGCAAGACCGTGTCTACTAAAACAAAACAAAACAAATCAATATGAAATGGCCTTCTTAGCTGTTAGAAAGTGCTTTCAAGGAACCAGGAGATGGTATAACAGTTATATTACTGGACTCCCATGTAGTCGACCACGGTTCGAGTCCCAGGACCGCTGACTTGAAACGCACACTGGGTGCATGTATGTGCGTGCCCAAACTCCTGAGAAAAGAATAGAGGAGAACGTATTGCAGTGTGGCCATCTCCCCTTAGGGAAGTGATTTCTCATTTTCTGTCTATTTCTCTCTGTCTCTCCAGGTGAGTGTACACACCCTATAGCAAAAATCTCTCTTAAGAACAAAAGGGTTTTCGGCCTTGAAATCTTTTTAGTATCATGGTGATATTGCCTCTTCAGTTTTCTCCTTGTTAGCAATGGTCTGGAATTTCTTTTTCAATCCTTTATTTTCAGTCTCTCTGTCATGTTGTTTTGGGTATATGATGATGGTCTGAGGGGCGCAATGTGCCATAAGTTCATAAGCTGTGGACAGACTGGACGGCTGACCCTAAGCTAGAGCTCCAGAGACTGTACTCTGCTCCATGGAGTGACCTAGTTGACATCTGTTATGTTTGACCAGGACACTGTTTTTTGTTTTCTCAAAGATTTTTTGCCATAGAATGTGTGTTCATCAGAGACAGACAGGAAGGGAAAGTTAAAAATCACTTCCTATGGGAGAGGACCACGCCATAATCCTTTCTTCATTTTCCTCTTGGGATGCAATCCCTTTCCTCCATTCTCTTCTTGGAATTTTGAGTACACACGTATATGCGCCCAGTGTGATTTTCAAGCCTCCAGGTCCAGAACTCAAACCACAGTCCACCATATGGGATCCAGCACCTTAACCACCAAACCACCAGCTGGCCGAGGACACTGCTTTAACATTTTTCCTAAACTAGGTGCCATGGAGTACCAGCTACCTACCTGGTATCCGTCCTTCCCCTTTTCTTCCCCTTTCTTTCTTTCAAGAGTACAGGGTGGATGCACTTCCAGGAGAGACAGAAAGTGAGAACTCACTCCTGACGGAGGATGACCATGCTGCAATCCCTTCTCCACCATTCTCTTCTCGGGATTTTTTGGCACACATGCACCCTCACCTGGTGTGAGTTTTAAGCCATGGGGTCTAGGCCTTGAACCTGGGGGGGTGGGAGTCCAGTGATGTAATCATTATGCCATCTACTGGTTCTCCCCGCTTTTAAGAAGGAATTCATGATGAAAGAAATGAGAAAGACGGTTCAGGGCAGTCTGTGAAATGCAAGGACCATTTAAAATTTAATAGCCAGGGTAAGGCCAGAGTCTGAGCCTTAGGTTACTCGGATGAATATGTAAATGAACTCTCAAGGGGTCAGATCCTTCCATGTGACCCCCAACCCTTACTCCATCCCAGTGATCTCTAGTTCACAATGTAAAGAAAGGTAGAGCCAGTCAGCTGCCTGTGTTACTTTAACGGACCAATGTAAATTCTTGCCAAGCAATTTGTAATCTAACCTTCCATCTTCTCTCAGATAAAACTAGCTTTGCCTTGGTTTTACAGGTTGACAAAAAAGAGTAATGTGTCTAGCTAAAAACCTGTATTTCCTAGCTTCCTTGTAGACAGAACTGATCAATAAGCATAAGCAATTGGAGGGGATTCTGAGAAAGCTCTTCAAAGGGTGCTGATTTGATAGGAAGTTTGCCTTTTTGTCCTTACCCTTTCCTCTTTTTCCCTGCCTGGGAATACTGGATGTGATGGCAGGAGCTCCAGCAGCCTGGGGGCACCTCGAGCTTTGGAGGCCATGCACTAAGGCCGACGTTCCACCAATGAGGAAATGTAACCACACCAGCCCTGGACAGCTGACCTCTAAACTTCTTTATATGTGAGACACCTCTATGTTGTTTAAGCCTCTTAATAGCAGGTAAAAACAATTCTCAACCGATAAACCTCCCAGCATTTAAAAATTATAAAGAGTCAAAGTCTGAATTTCAAGAAAACCCTCAAAAAGTGGAAAAGCTGGCAACGCTGGGTTTATCTGGCTAACTTGCATGACAGCAGTCAGCAGGAGCTGAGCAGGGGCTGCCTGCACTCTGCCTGGCATGCCTCATTTCTGTATATTTCCTGCCTGGCCCTCCAGGTGCCTGGGTTTGTGGTCTGTGTGTTACGCCATATTGCCTCCTGGGACTGCCCCACCACCCCTAGGAACCTGATGATATGTGAAGCCCATCTTTCCCTGCAGGTAACACCCTCTAAACATCAACAGCTGCACCTTCGACATGGATTTAGAACCTGCTTGCAAGTTTCTTCCCCACTCCTGGACTAGTATTCTAGACTTCAGATCAGCATTTCCTGCCAGAACAGTTTCGCCAGCCTCCTCTCTGCTCTCCCTGCTACCCCTGTCCCGCAGAATGCTCTCCATGTGCAACCAAAGAAGTCACAAACGCTGGAGTGAGATGAGGGCCCTCCTCTGCTCAGAGCCCTCCTGTGGCTGCATCTCATTCATCCAGGGAACAAATGAGAGCACCATGGCCTACAAAGTCCCCAACGATCTGCTTTGTCTCCTCTTGGCCTCAGCTCCTTCCACTCTCCTGCAGTAACTCTGTCCCGGCAATACCCGCCTCCTCCCAGTCCCTCCAAGGTTCTCTGGAACACTGTGTGCTTGCTGTTACTGGTACCTTGCTGCCTGCCTTCTCCACGGGCTCTCTCCTCTGACCCTTGTGCTCAGTAGTCAAAGGGCACCCACTTAGGACGCCCACCCTGCCATCCCCTACTGGATACTGCCACTCCCTCCTGACGCTCTGTCTCCCTCCCTCCCGCTCTACTCTTCTCTGAGCACTTAGCACCTTATGTCGTCTTAGGCATCTCACCCACTTGTCTTGGTTTCTTGCCCCACTAAGATATTTAAGTGCTGGGAAGACAGGACTTTTGTTTTAAGCAGGTCAATATCATATCCCAGGTGCTAAAAAGTACCTGATGCTTATTTGCTGAACAAATGCATCTCTACTGTCTACTGCAGCTCAAGTTTCTAGAGGGCTAGCCACTGTCAGACTTGAGGCCTCTGAGGACTGGGTGTGGGTCAGTTCACAGCATCCTCACAGCTCTCTGGAGGCAGCTCTAAGGCCTCCATCCTGCCAGGAGCTTCTCCAAGTGCAGGAGCAGGGCCTGGCAGCAGGGGTCTCGGAGACAACCATGGTCCTGCCCATCACCCACCCACCATCACCTTTGCCCACGAAGTAGTCTTGGTAGTAGCGGGCGCCCAGATCCACGTGCTCAATGCTGTACTGCCGGGGCCGGCTCTGCGTTCTCTGCTGCTCCTTGGGCACCTCCAGCACCGAAATGCTGGCGTTGGTGCGATAAGCACTCAGGGTGGGCTCCATCAGATGACCTTCGGCACCACCCGGGGAGCCCATGGAGGCCCTGGAGAAGCTCACGTTGCGCTCACACTCGCCTCCAATCTCGTTGCGAAAGTGTGGGCAGCTGAGTAGCAGGTCATTGCTGTTGTCATCACCCAGGTCCTGCTCCAGGTTCTCCTTACAATTCAAATCCTCTGTGCTGGTGAAGGCTGGGTCCAGGCCCCCCAAGCTGTGAGCCCGGGAGGCTGTGAGGGACGCCAGGGCAGAGGCTGCTGAGGCGGCCGAGGCACCCGTGGTGGTGTTCCGCCGCTGGGCCACGGACACCCTGTTGGCGGCTGCCTCGTTGAGGTCAAACAGCATACTCTGCACATCAAAATGAGCAAAGCTTTTCTGGCAGACCCACGGCCTGCTGGCTTCTGGGGGGCTCCGGCCTTCTTCGGCCTCCCCCAGGGTCCGGCTGGCTTCGCCCCCCAGTTTACTACTCCTTAGCTTCCGGAAGATGGACGAGTCCACTGTGTCTCCACTGCCCAGGCCCCGCACGGGTTTCTTCCGGGTCTTCTCCTTCTCCTTCATGGGCTGCAAGGGTAGGAGGTTGTCCTTTGGGGGCTGCCCATTGCGGGGATCCCCCTTGGCTCCGGTGCCGCCCCCTGTGAGGTGTGGGGCCGGATCTGTCCGGAGCAGCTCGTTCACGTTCTGGGAGCTGCGGGCCTCAGGCTGCTCGCTGCGGAACTCATTGAGAATGTCAAAGAAGCTCTGCTCAGGCACGCCCTGCACATCGATGGAGGAGGTGCTCCCGTACTCGCGGAAGAGGGGCAGTGCCCCAGTGTGCCGCGCACCCCGAGGCTCCCCGGTGTCCTCCACGTCACACTCGCTGAGGGTGATCTCACTGCTGCTGCGGTGGCGCAGAGGGAGGAAGGCCCTGCCTGGGGACCGGGGCCATCCATCCTGGAATTCCACATCTTTGGACCTTCTCCTGGAGAGTCGGTGGAAGGCTTTGGATCCTGAGGAAGCTGAGGTGCTGGCAGGGGGCTGTCCGTTCTGTATGCTCCTCATGGGGTGGGCCGCCTTGGTGGCCTTCACCCCATCTACGTCCTGTGAGGGGCTCGGGTTGCTCTGCTCTCTCAGGGCCTCCCGCTTGGGCGGCCAGTCAGCCACTCTTGCGCGCACACCCATCTTGGGCATTGCAGGGGTGGTGGGGCTGGGGCGGGTGGTGGCAGTGGCCGGGCTCTCACCAAGAGGTTGGGACATGCTGCCGTTCTGAGCCCAGAATCCCATGGATGTGTAGTCCCCTGTGTGTGGCCCGGGGAGAACGTCGCCCCCCCTGGCCCCACAACTGGCTGCCAGGTCCACACCATCACTGGGAATGGGCCTGTAGGTGGTCATAGTCCAAGGGCACGGGAGTGCTGCTGGCCCTGGAAGCTGTGGTGTAACTCTATGGGGTCCCCTGGCCCTCAGCCATTGTTCAGGGCCGCCAGCCCCAGGATGAAGGATGCTGGCCCCTGAAACCTGACGGGAAGGTTGTGAGCCTGTGCGGTCCAGCTCTCCACCATCGCTGTGGACCGCTGAGCCAGGACCACCTCAGGAGGCAGGGGCTGTCCCGGGGGCTCCAGGCTGTGAGGCTCAGCAGTGCGGAGTAAGCAGCAGGCGAGGATGCGGGTTGGTGGGCCACAAGAGACTCTTCTTCGCCATGCTGAAAGAGAGAAAAGGAAAATGTGAGACTGAGAAACATGTTACTGCTTCCAGAGAATAGAAACATGGCCCTTTTTGTGTGTTGTTTTGACAGTTAACTCATTAAAAAATTCTTTTTATTATGGAAAATTTCAAACATATTAAAACATAGAAAAATATGAGAAGCCACCCGACCAGCTCCAACAACCAGTAACTACTGGCCATCTCTGGTTCATCTATCCACTCTGCCTACATTTTTTAAGTTTTTTACAGAATATTTTAAAGAAAAGGCCAGACATCAGGTCATTTTACCCACAAATACCTTAGCTTGTATTTCTAGCACATAAGCCTTTAAAAAAAAAAAACATGATATATGGGGCCGGCAGGTGGCGTGGTGGATAGGGGTGCTGGACTCCCACATGGCCAACCACAGTTCAAATCTCGAACCTGGTGGCTTGCTTTCTCACTTCTTCTCTCTCTCTCTGTCTCTCTCTGATCAAACTGGAAAATAATAATGATAATAATAATAAAGTGAAATAAAATAATTCTTAAAAAAGTGGTATCATTATCATACTCACCTATGTTAACAAGAATGCTTCAATCCTATGTAATACTCTGCGCTACACTTCCTCACTGTCTAAAAGGTGTCCTTCGTGAGTTGGTCTGTTCAAATCAGGACCCAAATGAGATCCATACTCTGATTTTTTTTCTATTAATTTTTTTTTAAAAGAGGTTTTGGCCATAGGGCATATGCACTGGCTGGAAAGAGAGAGACAGACAGTGAGAGGGATGAGTACTCCACAATCTCTTTTCTTCCATTCTCCTTTTGGGATCTTGGGCATGTATGCACACTCATAACATGAGTTTTAAGCTGCTGGGTCTGGGACTCGAACCATGGTCGACTACTTAGGAGTCCAGCGACATAACTATTATGCCATCTGCTGGTCCCTTGCCTGGTGTGATTTTCAAGCCACTGGGTCCAGTACTTGACCTGTGGTCGGCCATGTGGGCCCAGAACCATGGGTGCGTATGGCCTGGCCCAGTGATGTAACCATACTCTGCTCTACAGGTATTTTAGGCCTGGGCAGTGAGAGTGTCCAATCCTAACCTCTAGACCACAAGGACGCTAGATGCCTTCTTTAAGTCTCTTCTGCTTTATAATGACCACCTTTCTTTTATTTATTTAAAAAATTTACTTATTTTATTCATGAAAGTGAGCATGTGTACATACACGCAAGAGTGAGGCGAGGAGGAGTTTGAATAGGAGGGACAGAGGGTGATGCACCCTTCACAGGGCCTTTTGTGCTGTGATCCCTTTTCCCCCAGCCCTCCAGCTTGTCAGGATCCTGGGCACATGTGCGCACACGTGGTGTGTTTTTAGGTTAACCTGGGGATCCAACCCTGTGGTCAGTCATGTGGCTTTCATCACTGCAGTTCAGTTTGTTACCACCTGCGCCTCCAGGCTGAGCCACCTTCATGCTGAAGCTATTCACTGGTGGAAGAAATAGGGCCACTCGTCCTGTGGCATTTCTCACTTTCACAATCCCTGTGATACCATTTTAACACGCTCCTCTGCCCCCTGTATTTCCTGTGAACCAGTGGCTATGTGTAGAGGCCAGACTGTTGTCCGTCTGTCCTGCCGTCTGTCTGAATTGACCGCTTTGCCAGAAAGGAAGTGAGTATGACAGATGAGTTAACATGAGCGCTGGTGGATTTTGGAGAATGAAGCCACAGAAGGAACGTCTCTAGAAAACGCTAATAGGTACTGTGAGTTGGGAAGCAGATCCCATCTCTTCTGTGGTCTCCCCAGCGACGCCTCACTTAGTTTCTGTTCTTCTGACATACCAAGCTGGCTTGGGATATCTTGATTTTTGGCCAGGCTGGTTCCCTGCCCTGATGTCATGTCTTTGATGAAGACTACCCAAATGATGAAAAAGCCTCGTCTCTTCAAAGCCTTTCTATCACCCTCTCTGCTTTCTTATTGGTTGTCAAGAATTATTCACTATCTGTCTCTTGACAGTCTCCACCACTACAATGTCAGCTCCAGAAGGCTGGGATGTCTGTGCTGCTCACTGAGGTACCAAGTGCCCAAGACAATGTGCAGGACACTCCTTCACTATAGATTATACCAACGAGCAGAGATGGCCTCTGCCGAGGTCTGATTTGCAGGCCTCTGGGGAAGGGAGTTCATGCTCTGTCTGGCAGTGTAAAACGCAACTGCAGGATCATTCCTGAACTTCTGGAAAATGAAATCCCCTGCTAGAGAGGAAGGGGAAAGTGGGTCACCGTCTGTGATGGAACCTGTTGGCTGTCCCAGCAGCCATGTCCGCCAACAAAACTGATTTTGTTCAGGGCAGTAGAGTGCTGGGTTGGGCTGGGCACTGGGCTTATGAAAAACTTTACTTTCCCTTGGAGTTGCAAGTCAGACATGGCTCATTCTGGTCAATGACGACTAGTGCTTCCCGTGCAAACAAGTGGAAGGCCTGGCTCTGTGCGTGTGTGTGTGTGTGTGTGTGTGTGCAAGCATGTAGGGAAGGCGTTCCCCAATTCGTGCCCCGAGGTAAAGAGTGAACTGGCAGAGAGAAACCAAGAAGGCAAAATAGCAAGGAGAAAGTGAGAATTAGGAGGTGAGGATACAGAGAACCCCTTCTTGGTGCCTCTTCAGCACAGGAACATTGCTGAAGATGTCACAGGAAGGCAGAACAGGGGAAGGGCCAGAGAAAGGGGAGGAAATTGGTAAGCCCACAGGGTCAGGTGGTTTAAGAGAGATGGGAGAGAGGCCAGAAAGGGCCTGTAGTGAACCTGCCTACAGAGACACCTTCTGAAGAGGAAGGTGGGCTTCAGTGCCTGCCAACTGAGCTGCATGGGAGTATGGGTGCCAGATGAACTGATTTTTCAAGAGAAACCAGAAATCTAGAATTATAAGGACCATTTCCCAATCTGAAAAGCAAAAATAACAGTGATGGCAAACTAGTATGCAGAGAAGGTCTCTAGAAGGATTTTCAAGAAACCACTGCCACAGTGGTTACCTCTAGGAGGGTGGATGTCTGTCCTCCGACCTCTAAACCCCTTCCGCTGCCTCCTTTTTCTCCTCAGCACTTATCAATATACTTACTTATTTCTCTTATTTATCACTGGTCCCTCACCCTATGAAAAGGTATTTAAATGTATGTTCAAAGAATATGAGGGACCTTTAAAATGTTTATGGAGGGGCCAGCAGATGGTGTGGTGGTTAAAGTGCTGGACTCCTACATGACCATCGTGGTTTGAGTCCAGGACCTGGCGGCTGTCTTTCTTTCTTTCTTTTTGGAGAGGTTTTTGCTATAGCACACATGCACTCGCTAGAAAGAGGGAGTCAGAGAGACAGAAAGTGAGAAATCACTCCCCAGGGGCATGGCCACGTCGTGGTCCCTTCTCCATTCTCTCAGGATCTTGGGCATGCATGCACATGTGCCCGGTGTGAGTTTAAGTCACCAGGTCTGAGACTCGAACTGTGGTTGACTACATGGGAGTCCAGCAATGTAGCCATTACGCCATCTGCTGGTCCCCCTGGCGGCTTGCTTTCTTACTTTTCCTCTCTTTCTCTCTTAATTTACATGTGGACCAGCAAATTAAAAATAACAATAAAAATAAAATAAAATAAAATAAATGCTTAGGGAAAATGTATATAATGAAAAAAAATGCATAGATTCCAAAATTTTCTTGCACCAAAATAAACTTATATTTTAAACTCCTACCTCTCCCCATTTTGAAGTACACTCGTACCACTGGCTACCCATTGAATTATTTGTATGTATTTCTAGTCAATAAGTGAATACTTCTTTTTTTTTTGGAGAGGATTTTTGCTATAGGGTGCGTGCGCTCGCCAGACAGAGAGAGACAGAGAGACAGAAAGCGAGAAATCACCCCCCGGGGGGATGGCCACACCGCAATCCCTTCTCCATTTTCCTCTCGGGATCTTGGGCACGCACACACATGCACCTGGCGTGAGTCTTAAGCTACTGGGACCAGGACGCGAACTGTGGTCGACTACATGGGAGTCCAGCGACATAGCTATTACACCAACTGCTGGTCCCATGAAGTGAATACTTCTTAAGAACAATTCCATAAAACCAAAACAAGGGTCCATGAAATAAGTATGTGGCCTGGATTCGAGTAGAGACTGCTGGTTTGAACTTCCAGTGACTGGTTGGTGCTGCAGATTTGCCAAAGAAAACTGAAATGATTTAGTTCATCCTCTGTTTACTCACTGACTCCATCACTAGCGTCAGCTCCAGAATGGCAGGGCTATTGCCATGACGGCCTGAGCCCATCCCCGCACTTTGCTGGGCACTGGATTAGATCCCAAGCTGAGCTGGGCGGCTGGCCAGTCTGGGTGCTGCCTGTTCTCCCAGCCCACCCTGTGCTGTAGCCCTTCAGGTCAGCCTGGGCGGAATGCAGAGGGGGGATTAGTCCTTTGAGGCCACACACATTAGGCTGGTGGGAGACCAGCCGGCCCTGACTTGCTTATGCAAGCACCTCCCGCCAGATGGGCTCTGCTGATGGCATGCTGTATCCAGCTCAGGCAAAAACCCTTGATCCGTTTTGCTCCCTCTGTGAACACACACAGATGTTCTTGCAGGCCTGGGTCTATTTGCACAAATCACATCTCTGAGCAGGTGCAGCTGAGTCTCCCTGTGACACCCAGAGGCTGAGTGACACCTACAGACAATCTGGGATGCAGGGACTAGTGGATGCTGGACCCTTTCCAGCTGTTACTGAGCCCCAACTTTCTTTCATTTGAAATATTTCTTTCTTGTTTTTTTTTTTTTTTTTTTTAAAAAACAAATTATTTATTTATTTCCATTTATGATTACTTTAAAAATTGACCAGAGATAGATAGAGATAGAGAAACGGAGAAAGCATACTGTCAGGTCTGGGACTCAAACTGTGGTCAGTCATGTGGGAACCCAGTGCCTTTAACCACCATGCCACCTGCTGGCCCTAAAGTTTATTTATTTCTTCAATGAGTGAGAGAATTGA